GGGCGGAGGCAGCTCAGGATGCGGGCCTCGGCTGTCCGGGAGCAAGACGTGCGTGACGCGCGACAACAATGCTTTTTGCTCCCAGCTTGATCACAAGCAAGCGCTGCGCGCCACGATGGGAATTCTGTCTGTCCGCGCTAGCGCGCCGCACCTCGACTGCGCGGTCGGAGCCTGGCCCCCCTGCTCCTCGGCCCGCGAACAGGGGGGCCGAGCTGTAGAAGGAGCTCCGGGAGGCGGCTAACGTGCGGGAGCCGGATTTCTGGCGCGCGGACGCCAATGGGCGCGTAGGTCCAGTAGACAGATCAGCCGTCGGAGTCGACGGCTCGAGGCGGGGCTCAGATCCCGACGGCAGCGAGGTCCACAGATTTTCGGTCTCTGCGTTGGGGGGCAGGGGGGGGCAGGGGGGGCGCGGCGTGGTCGACGCGTTCGGAGACGGGGCCGGGGCCGGCCGCGCCTGAGCCAACGCGCCTGCGCACCGGCGTCGCATGGGCGATGCGCTGGCAGGCGCCCAGCGGAGGCAATGTTCGCGCGATCACGGTGTCTGGCGCGACGGGCGCTGCGCCGCAGCCGAGGAACGAGGCGCGGAAGGCCCAGGGGGGCAAGGAAGGGCAAGGAAGGAGACGAGGAGAAAGGACAGAAGATCATGCCCCAGCGCATTGCTTGCGCTGCTACGAAGCAACCCCAGGGGCAAAGAGGGGCGGGCGGGGCCCCGGGCACGAAGGGGCCAAGACCAAGGAAGGCCAACCAGCAGCACGCTTTCGCCGGGAGGGATTCAACGCTTCCCGCGGCACCCTGGCGGGAAGGAGTCAGCGCGCAAATGCGGGAGCTCCAGTCGGAGCTTGCGCGGCCGCAGCTCAGGAGCGCCCCCCTCTCTCTCGCAACGGCGTGCTCGCCAGCCGCGCGTTCGAACGCGGAGCCTCGAGCTCGCCGCGCCCGGTCGGCGGGCGAGGGAGGCGCTTCTCTCGGGGGGGCTAACCAAGCCCACCTGTTCTTCAACGCGGCAGCATCTGTCCAGGAGAGGGCAAGTGACCAGCAGCCAGAACGAATATTGCGCTTGCTGCCAGGGCGTTCCCGGGGGGTCAGCGCCCGGGCTCGGACGCAGCAGCCGGCGCGGCCCATCGAGGGCATTGCCTGGGTCCGCAGGGCCACGCCGGAAGCGGATCGAGAAGACTTGGCGAGCGGACTTGCCGGCAAGCTTGGCAGGTCCATTCGCGGCGGGAATTCCAAGAGAAAGCGGGGGTCGCCGCGCGCTCCTCGGAGGTTTGGCGGGGGGGGGCGAGACCACCAACAATGCCTTGCCCCGCAGCTCGGGTCAGAGTGGCGACCCAATGCCGATGACAGACGACGTCGCCAAAGACGTCGCCATGCCTTCCCAGCCTCAAGCGCGCAGAGCGGATTTCGCAGCAGGACCGCGCAAGGACGCATAGACGCGGAGTGCCCAAGTCGCGCTTTCAGCAGGCGCAGTCGGACAACGCGATCGCGCGGAGAAAGATTGAGGCCATCCTTCGGAGGCGCGAATGCAACGCGCAGGCAGACAAGATCACGAACAACAAAGTCTCGAGGTGCTCGCCGAAGGCCGCTGCGCAGCACGCAGGCGCCACCCCGGCGAAGGCTACGCTGCGCGCGCGAGAGCCATCCGTTTTCATGGGAGGGGTTGTTTTCGATTGCACAAATCGAATGGCGCACCCGCCCTCGCGAGCAGCCACCGCGCAATCTTGCCGACGAATACTTTGGCCAGAAGCCGCCGCTCATTTCTACGGGCCCGCCTCTCAATCATAGTGAAATACGAGATGCGCGACGCAGCGCGGAGGGCCCAGAGGGGCGGGGGCCGACGCGGCCTCGCACCTCGCCCGGGCGCCCATGGAGACGGCCAGGGACCGCGGCTCCCCAGTCGCCTTCGCCGACGCGAAGGCTAGTTGTTTTTCGACTCGAAGGCTGCTCGCGGGCAATCGGGCCGCTTGGGGCTTGGTTTTAGGCGATTTCAAGTTGAAGGAAGACTGGGGCGAGATCATAGATTCCGCTGACAGTCAAACCGCGCTGCAACCTGCAATGGGTAGGTTGATTGCTGAGCCTGCTGCGTTGGATAAGTACGTCGAAGATCCACGCCTGATGGCGGCGCTGCAGGGCGCGGATCAAGGCCCTGGCATAGCCGTCAGGGGAGATGACAAACCAGCTCGAACAAGGATGGGTGCCCCGCCAGGCAGTAGTCTAGGGGGGCATGGTTTTCAAGTGCGCATTTACCCCATCTTGGATGATGCCCACTGGGGGGGGGGGGGGCATCGGAGCTCGCCGTGGCCCTCCCCGCCGACGGCGGGCCCTCTGCAATCGAATCGGATGAGAACTCGAACGCGGTCACCGATTGCACGCGCGCGGATAATACGACAGCGATTGCGCGGTGGAAATGCAACGGCTCGCTCCGCAAGGCTGCGGCGCGCCTTTGCGCGCTCCTACGCGAGGCGACGGCATCTAGAGGAATGAGGTTCAACTACGGCAAATGATTGCAAATTCCACTACAGGAGTTGAAGGACACTGTATGCGGGCATTCAGGGGGAGGGGCGCAAGCAGCAGAGCAGACGTGGCTTGCAGAGGGGGGCTGGTTTTTTGAAGGTGCCGAAGCATGATGCGGCAGTACAATACGCGCTAGCCACAAACATATTGGGAGCGTCTTGCACGTTGGCGGAGCAGCGGGGCCTGAGTTGCAGGCGCGGGTGACCTCCTAGGTTGACTGCATCGGGCACCCGAAACGTTCGGCAGTCAAGATGAGAGGGGGAACACCAAGCTTAGATGTTGTTACCGGCTGCGTTCGATTAATCTTTTGTTCCGCGGCGGAATCCGAGGGCCTCTGGGCGCCGCGGACCTCGAGCAGGCCCGAACGGACTGGTTGAGGCCGCGCCGCGAGGCCACAGGGAAAGCAGCCTGGAGCCGCGAAGGCGCGCGAAGGCACGCGGGCGATGTCTTGCTGGGAGCATGCCAGCTTGGCGCGCCGATTGCATTGCGGATCCTGCGCCTCCGCTACCTTGCCAGACTCCTGTCTCGTGCCCCTTCGGGGCTCCGGGTGCCTCTGGATTGCGTTCGGGATCTCCAGGGCGATTGGCGTTTCATGGTTCGGGGGGATTCGCATCGGCTCGAGACCTAAGGCGGGCGGCGGGCCCGGGGATTGGACCGAGACGACCCCGCTCGGACAGTGGCTCCGGATGGCTCGCGAGGCCCTAGCGGCCCGGGCCAGCGCGAATAAGGAAGCAGCGGAGACTTTCGCACATTAGAGCGGGGATTAGCTCGAGCTCTCCATGTAGCGGAGCAGGATTCACGACGTTTGCGCTGTAGGTGGCGCATGTCCCTCCGCCCGCCGCACCCCCATCTCCGCAAAATATTGCGCGCCGCTGCGCGAGGCTTGCGGGCCCCTCTTCGCGACCGCGCGAAGTCGGCGGCATGGCCTCGCTAGGGGCCACCTGGAGCTGGACCCCGCGGCGAGGCATGCAGGGTGGGGGGGGGGGGGGCGCATTGCGCTTGCTTGAAGAGCTTCGCCAACCGTCAACGATTGCTCAGACACTCGCGTCGAGGGCGTTGGAGATGTCTGGCAGCCCGGGCCCAACAGAAGCAACCGACGGGGAGCTTGGGGGAAAAATAGTGGTCGAGGAAGAGCGGGCCGAAGCGCGCGAGCGTCGGTCGCAGGAGCTGCGCGATGCCAAGGCAGAGGCCCCGGCCTGCCTTTCCTCTTCCCGGCGAAGCGCTGGTCGCGCAGTTGGCGGCACCTGGCCCGCCGCCAGAGCTCATCGCTGTGAATGCTGGCCTGCGTTTCGGCGCCGCTGCGATCCCGCAGCCAGCTTCAACAGCGCATTTCAAGCATGCGACGCCCCTTTTTTTTTCAGCGGTGTGAGAAGGCCAGGAGATGCGCAGAGCTACTTCCAACGTTCCCAGCGACAGTCCAAGGCAGTGGTTTGGACATCGTCGGCCGACGTTGCCCGCGACGGGTTTTCGAGGACTTGGGGAACAACGCTGCAATGGACAATTGAATAATTCTATTTGTACGAAGCGGGGTGCTGCCAGTGCACGTGGGCCCTCCACGTGAATCGCGGGCTCGGCTCTCGCGAACCAGTTCAGCGATGGCGACGGAGGCTTTCGCGCATGTAGCAGTTGCCACAGGTGGCGCTTCCATCACAGAACACACTGCACCTCCGAGAGATCCACCATTGCCTTCGTCACGGCACGCGCAGGAAATCGCTCGCTTAATTCAGCCCGAGCATCCCAGAGTTGTTGCAGATTTGTTTTGGGCTGAGCAGCGTGAGTTCCAGGCTCGGCCAATTAATCCAGTTTGGTTAATGATTGCGAGCTTGCCAGGAATGCGCCAATGATTGAATTCTGCGCCCAAGCATGGGCGGTGCTCGCACCCGGCCGGCTCTCGCGAAGCATTGACGTGGCGGAGTGTTTCAGCGACATTCAGGACGACCCCGGCAAAACAGCATCCAGACAAGGCTCGGCATTTGTTCAAGGTTTGCGACAGGAAGTGCGAGTTCGCTGCAGACGAACCTTCCCCGATAGATACCGAATATCGAGGGGGGCGTTGCATCGTTCGTCGCTCCGCTCGACGTTTCGCTTGAAGCTCCCAGGGGCGGGTATGGCGGCTGAGCCACCGGCCTAACACGCATCTTGGGCTGCGATCAGTTGGTGGGCTTCGCCACTGTCAGAGGCGGCGGCCCCGGCAACCTTCGGACAGCACAGGGTTGCTGGGGGGACGAGGTCCCAGGCGGAAGGCGCCAATGCACTCCCCGCCTACGCCACGCAGGCCCCGCTGCCCAGCTCGGAGGAGCAGCCGCCGCTGCTCCGCCGCTCGCTCCTTAAACAGGTTTCATTAGCGCTGATGCCTGCGCGGGTCATCACCCATAGGCCGAAACGCTAGAAACGCCAGGGGGGAGAGGAGGAGGCCCCTCGCCCTCCGGACGCCTGATTGAGTCCACAACTGTTCTGGGCGTCGCGGCCCGCCGCGCGGAAGATCCAGGAAGTTCAGATGTGTGACTTCGGCGCCCTAGCGGGCCCCAGCGCGAATGGCTAGAGAAACCGCGCTTCCTTGCACGGCCGTGGGGACGAAATTGCAATCAAGCATCTAGCCCAGGTTTCCCGAGCGCGTTCGCTTTCCCAGCGTCAGCGCGAACATCTGGCCCAAGCGCGTGTCCAGAAAGGCTGGAAAGCTGGACCCGATTTCTTGAATGCTAATTTTCTTGATCCTGCAGCGAGATGTCCAGAAAGGCTGGAAAGCTGGACCCGATTTCTTGAATGCTAATTTTCTTGATCCTGCAGCGAGATTTCCTGACACCCGGCCGCCCAATGTTTGTTCGATGCGTGAGCCCGGGCCGGACTCTCGTCCCGCGTCGTTCTTGGACGGCCCCGAGGCCCCGCGAGGGCCCCCCAGGGGATCGAAACAGTCCCAAGACTGGTTGCTCTCCCATTTTTTCTGGACCTCGGATCCCTGGGCAAAACGGCGACGCACAGATGAGGAGGACGAGGACGAGGACGGGGACGAGGAAGGAGAGGAGGAGGAGGAGGAGGAGGAGGAGGAGGAGGAGGAGGAGGAGGAGGCGCGGCAGGCGGCGGCGGCGCCGAGGCAGCGGCCGCGGCTCGCGGCACCAAGGCCGGGGCCGCGCTCTCGGGGGGGGGGGGGGGCACGTCGGGTCCGCGTCCGCCCAGGGGGGCGGCCGAGCCCGAGGCCCGCGGTGGCGCGCAGCGCACGGGCGAGGGCGAAGGGAGTCGTTCCAAGCCTGGACGTCCCCAGAGATCCGACGCTCCGAAAATCTAGGCCTCCCGGCTGGGGTCCGAGCAGATGGGGTCGGAGGATCTCGCCGCATCGCCCATGCATCGGCGATGCGGTTTTCGATGTGGAGCACGATTGGCTTCACGTCGACGTCGCCGATGCATCGCCGACGTCGACGATGCGCCGCTGGTGCACCAACGATGTATCGCCGATGCATCGCCGATGTATCGGCCATGCGGCGCGATCCTCCGACCCCATCCAGGAGACCTCTAGAAAAAATTTGGAGCAGCCGGGGTTGGGGGCCAGTTTCGGTCCCTGAGAAGCTGGCCGTGAGGAAGTGGTCCAGATCTCCAGGGCCCACGCATCGAAAAAGTGGGAGCGGCCGGGTGTCTACAGTCGGGGCCCTGGAGAAGGAACCCTTTTTGTTGGGGAGGGGCTCCGTGTTCCTTAGTTGCTTTACAGTGCTCCTTGGGTTTCCTGAGGTTTTCCATGGAACATCGGAGCTTAACTTATGGGAAAAAGGGGCCTCGTTCCTTATTTAGGGTTCCTTAGGTCAAGGCCCCGACTGTAGGCCTGGCGCTTCGAGGAAAGGCGGCGAAGGTCTCTCATGGTCTTCGGCTTCCCAGGGCCGCTACAGGGCCTCGGGCCTCGGACTGTCCAAAAACAATTTCGGGATGGAAAAATCAGGAGGGACAAAAAAACAGACACAATTAATCGTCGATTCCCCCGAAAATATCAGAAAATATGGGGGTGGGGGGGGAAGACAAAACCCCAGAACATATGGGGAAATATGGGGAATCCTTTTATTTGTGTGTATTTATTTGTGTGCCCCAGGGCCTCTTCAAAAAACAGGTCCTGGGGAAGGGGGTGAGAGGTCGGGAGACCGCGTTTCGGAAAAACTAGGGCGTCGGATGTTTGGGGGGGCGGGGCATTCGAACCCATGGCCCGCCTGGGCGCTGGCTGCGGCAAGGGGCTCGTTCGAGCAGTGAGGTCGGCGAGGCTTCGGGCTGCGCACCAGACGGCCCCCCCCCCAGAAGCCCTGGCTGACCTCAACACGCCTCCCGAGTAGTCCAGGGCGGTCTCAGCACCCTGGCGCCGCCTCCGGCGGCGCCCCTGGGGCACTCCGCGCCCCAGGGTTGAGCTGTTGAGACCGCCCCGAATTATTCGGAATTATTCGGGGGGCCTATTCAAGCCAGCCGAGACCGCATGGGGGGCCTGTCTGTGCGCAACCCGAAGCCTGACCACGCATGATGCTCGAACCAAGACCGGTGCCCGCCGCCAGCGCCTGTCGTTTCACGAGTTTCACGAGCTGATTTCAGGCAAATCGTTCCACTGACGGGGTGGCCCCGGGCCTCCCCCTGTTTTCGAGTTTCACGGGCTCCATTGAAGGGAGAGCCCCTTCCATGTTTCCCGAGTCGTTCTCGAGCAAGCTCTCTCCCGCGAATACCAGGCGCGCACCGATTGCTGTCGCGCTCGACGCCGCACCGACGCGGGGCTATCGGGGGGCTCCTCATTCCGATGTGCGAGAAACTTTTGTGGGAAAAAACACCCTGAAGGGGGACGAGGACACGACGACGACGACGACGACGACGATGACGACGACGATGACGACGACGACGACGACGACGACGACGACGACGACGACGACGACGACGACGATGAGGGTGACGACGACGACGACGACGACGACGACGACGACGACGACGACGACGACGACGACGACGACGACGACGACGGCGACGGCGGCGGCGGCGGCGGCGGCGGCGACGACGACGCTGACGTTGGCCAGAGTCCGAAGGGATGCTTCTTGGGGTCTTTTCGGAAGGCTCTCGCTGTCCTCGGGGCCTCTTGGGTGCCGCGTGGGGGACTCTTGGAAGCCTCTTGGGGGCCTCTTCGGGCTTCATGGGGGCCTCTTAAGATTCTTGTGGCACGCCGACAAGAACAGCGGATTTGGGACCGCCTCGGGCGCACCAACATTATCTTGGCCCTCCCCACCCCCCACTCCCGCAGGCCCCATCCTCTCAAGGTCGACTCCGAAGCTAGCAGCAGCCTCAGCTCGTTCTCTGGCCATCTCAGCTGGACGGCCATGGACAGGGTCGCAGGGCAACACCTCCCTGCTAAACTGAGGCCGATGAGAATTCAAGTGCTGATGCGGGAAGGGGGCGGACGTCTCACTGATAGGAGCTGGACGGTTTCGCTGCGGCATCTCGGGCAGAAGGCTCTCCCCCTTCCTGCTCGTTCCTGTCAGTCTAATCCCGCAACTTCATTATCAACCTCTCTTGCCCTGCCATCGGCCTCCCTCTCTCCTCTTCCTCCTGACCGACGCTGCCGTTCTTCTCCCTACCATATCTCCCCTCTGCCTGTCTGTTTGTCGATCCTGTTACGTGTATAGTTATATGTGCTTGCTATGTCTGATTGTCTGTCTCTCTGTCGGTATGTCCGCTTCTCCCCTGTGGCAGGTAACTATGTATACCTCTGTCTGCAAACACATATGCATACATACATACATGCATGCGTGTTTGTATACATGCATACACACATACATGCACACGTACATACATACACACATACACACATATGTACATACCCACTCACGTACGTACACACACATGAAGACATTCACATGCATGTATACATATACACATACACTCGCATACTTACATGCATGCATACAGGCATACGTACGTGCATGCATGCGTATGCACATACATACGTACATACATGCATACACTCATACGGAGAAACATGCACATAACGTACATACATACGTATCCACAGACCTATGCATGTGCATGCAGGTCTACAAATACGTAAACATAGACAGCTGCAAACACACATGCACACATACACGTATAACAATACCTACTGTACGCATATGCATTCAAACACCTATGCACATATACATACATGCATGTGCATGCGCCTGCATACACGTATGCAGAGGCCAATACATACGCATACACAGATGCGTGTACAGAAACATAAGCATCTATAATCATGTAAACACTTACAGCTCCATATGCACTTCCAGTTATACGTATACACCTGTGTATACACATATGTATATATATGTATGTACACACTCATACCTGAACTTTCACGCTTACGTATACATTTTCATGTATACATACATGTATATATACATGTATATACATGTACATCTGCACAAGCATATACATGTGCATGTGCATCTACATATAAGGGAGATCCCAGGCCCAGGACCCCCACCTTGGGCTTCGGTTCCCCCCCTTCTCCGGACGGTGTCCCCGAAGGGCTGAAAGCGCGGGAGAGCGCTCCAAGAGCACCCAGGATGGCCTCCAGACTGCCCAAGAGTGCTCCAAGACGCCCCAAGATGGCCCCAAGAGCGCTCCAAGACGCCACAGGAGTGTCGCAAGAAGCACCAAGTGTCCCCGAAGACGCCCCAAGAGGGCTCCAAGAACCTCCCGAGGAGGCCTGCCAGAGGCTACCATCATTCAATACCATAGGAAAATCAATGATTCTGGCGTCCTCCATTTTTCACTTCCGATGCGCTTCCGAGGCTTCAACATGACCCCCAACAGGCCCCCAAGCTGCACCCGGGAGGCGCTCCCAGCGACCCCAAGAGGCACCCAGAGGCCCCAAGAGGCCCCCAAAGGGCCCCAATAGGTTTTGAAGATGCCCCAAAGAGTCTCCCAGAGGCCCACACCCAAAACGCCCCCACGAAGGCCTCCAGACGGCCAAAGAGGCTTCCAAGGCGACACAGTAGCGCCCCAAGAGCGTTCGAAGACTGCTCAGTATGGTTTCAAGACGGCCCGGAGGCTCCCCAGGAGGTCCAAGAGTGCCCAAGAGAACCCTCGAGAGGGCCGCCGGAGGCGAAATCGTCACATTTCCCTTCGGACAAACATGTAATTTCAGCACGTTCGATGTTCCGTATGAGCAGCGCCCAGTACGGCCTAGGGGGAACCAAAGATCGCCCCAAGACGGCCCACGAGGCCCCCAAAGAGGCCCGAAGACGGCCCAAGAGAGACCGAAGACGGCCCAAAAGGCGTCACAGATGGCCAGCGAGACCCCAAGAGAGACCCTTGAGGAGGAGTTCGAGCTCAACTTGCAAGCCCCCCGCCCCAAGAGGACCCCCGAGACCGCCCGCAGCCCCCCCAGCAGCCTCCCTGAGGCCCCCAAGAAGCCCCAAAAAGTGGCCCCCTGAATTTCTCCAAGAGGTCTTGGCATGCTTCCAAAAGGCTCCCGAGAGGTCCCCCAAAAGACCCCAACAAGCCTCCAAGAGGCCAGGCGTCCACATTTTAAACGATGTTCCCAGAGAGGTTTCCTAGGATATTGAATCGGACCTCGAGGCCGCTATCCAGACACCAATACGTGTCACAAAGGTCCCCAAAAGGCTACCAATAGGCCCCTGAGGCTTTCCAAGAGGCCCCTAGAAGCATCTCAGATGCCACGCGTCTACACCCTCATCAACGTTCCCAGAGAGGTTTCCGGGGACATCGCTTCCGAGCTAGAGGCCTCCCTCGATATCCCCATGAGCGCCACAGGGGCCTCACATACACGTCCTACACGATATTCCTGCAGATGCCCCTTAGGAACATCGATTCGGACTCGGGCCTGTCATACCCTCCCTCGATTAACAATCGCTGGCACATGGGTCCCTCGGGTCAGTGCCCTCAGAAGCGGGGGGGGGAAAGAGGTACGAGGAGCAGGGAGGAGGACGAGGAGTGGGAGGAGTAGGACGAGGAGTGGGAGGAGTAGGACGAGGAGCGGGAGAAGTAGGACGAGGAGGAGGAGGAGGAGGCAAAGGAGGAGGATTCGCATTGGGAAAGGGAAGGGGCATTCGTACGGGGACAGGGGTGCCCAGCATTATGGGTAAGAAGGGAGGGGCAGGAAGGACGCAA